TTCAACGCCGGGAGAGAGGGAAAGGTTGGTAGGTAGGCCTTACTTCTCTGAGCGTTGGTTGGAGGGAGTGCGGTGTGAAATGCGAGGGGGGGAATCCTGGTTGGTGGACGTGGTTGGTGCGGGGTTGGTTGGTGGGCAGGTAGATGGACAGACAACATCCGGCCTCACGTTCACACGGGTGAGAAGCCTTATTTATATGAGCTATCCATGTTTTATATAATATGCCGTCTGCAAGTCGACGCGTGCGTGTGCAGAAATGCACCTGCAGTTGGTTCGTATGTGCAATGAATATGTTTATGCTGCGCATGCCTGTAGTTGGCGGGTGTGTGTAATGAATGGTTTTGTCCGCACGCTTGCACTTGTATTGGCTGGTGTGTGCGATGAATGCATTTCTTCGCCTGTACACGCTGGTAGTTGGCGGGTATGTACAATGAATGTCCCTGTGCGCACGCCTGCGCAAGCCTATAGTTGGTTGGCGTGTGCAGTGAAAAACCCCCCTCAGATTTCGGAAGAACTACAGTGAAGCGCTGAATCTTCGAAGAAATATCCGCAATGCACATCCAGGCATCCAAGAAAAATAGCGATGGCCAAGGCTGAGAGACAGACTTAAGGTCAAACTGAAGACTTCGATATAGGCGCTGCCCAATACACACAAGAAAGAAGCGACGAAAGCATAAGCCCGAAGCAGCCAAACTTCCAGGGTGGTAAGCCCACAATTTTTTGGTACAGAGGGACGAATGAAAGGGGGAGCACGATACAGCTTACAGCTGCATTTTCCTTCTTGAGATCTAGAGGTGTAGCGATAGGATTTGGCAAGGCACAAAGTCAGCCAAAGATCGAAGGGTATAATCCCAGAACCCAGGCATAGCGGCGCAGGTCCGAAGGCAATGGCACAGCGGCCTAAGTTCGAAGACTGCAAGCCCAGAACCCAATGGTACAGAGGGATAAATGCTAGAGACTATAATATGCCTCTCCTGTCCTTCCGGGGATTTGGGGGAAGGGGAGTGGGGAAGGGGAGCGAGGGGTAAGGTGGAGAGGAGGGTAATGAACGAACGAGGTCCTGTGATGACCCTGTAGCCCTGTGGCGTAGCATCCATGGTCATATATATTCATGTATATATTGAAATATTCCTATATATGCCATATTCACCATCCATTGCTTGATATTCTAGTGCACACGTTGTCCTTACTCAGTGAAACACTTCCATAGGACTGCACCGGGACCATTTCTCGGATTTGTTGAGCCCGCAATTGTATGGGAAGCGAGAATTCGAGATGTCTGGAGGTCTAGTTACTATCGATCGAAAGACGCTGCTGCTGCTCAGACGCAGATGGTCCTGTTAAAGGAGAACGAACGAACGAATGCAGATCCATTTTGCCATCAGTAAGAATTCGAAACGAGAGCGGGGGGATAATGTCGATGACCGTTCTAGTCAGCACGATGCTGCGCCTCAAGTCAGGGACCCCGGGGGAGCGATTCACGCGCAGAGCGAATGGCCTCACCGCCTCACACAATGTCCCAGGTCCACACGCGGGTCCCCGGTAATTTGTGACCGCTCCGGCTACCAGTGAGCTACAGCAGCAGCAGTTTCACGCAATGCCCTATGCAGCCCGACGGCCTGGTCCCATGTTAGCAAAACACGCAACATGCAACATGGAACATGCAACACGCAACATGCAAGGGGCAGAAGCAGGCAGGCAGATCTGGAAAGGCGCTGCGGGAGACGGCAACATATAGGTGCCGCTTTGCGATCGACTTCGCTCCTGGATCAGTGGGCGCTCAACGTCGAGCTCTCTGAGTAGCCTCTGTGCGTCATGCATATGTCTGGCTGTCTTCTCGTACATGTGCAGCCGGTGTTGACAGTGATTTTTCTGACCGTCATAGGGTGGCACGTGCATGTCGAGTGGGTGGGTGGGATGGGTAGGCAGGCCGTGTGCATGCTTCTATGCATGTGCATGTTGCTAGTTTAGTGTGTGACATGGACAGGATCCCCTCCGGGGTTACAGACACGAGTCTCGTTAAACACAATAACCAATAACCAACCTCATATGACTCACCTAGCTCTTGGACGCCTGAAGAGACATCATGGCGAGGTTCTTGCGCTTTGTCCCTGCCAGTCTTCGGGTCTTGGCTCCTGCGGCTACAACAACAGCACAGAGCCTGCTAAGTGGCATCGGATGGCGAAGAAGCGACTATGCCACGCCCTGAATGTGTCAACCAACGGCGTTCGTCTCCATACCCCGCGACCAGCTCGCCAGGTGCATGAGGCGGGCCCCTAATGAGTCGGCGGGCGAAGAGGGGGAAAAAGAGAGAGTTCGACTGCAAGAATGGAGTCAGATGATGCACGAGAAGAAGGGAGAGAAGAGGAGAGATGAGCATACCTCTCAAGCTGTCAAAGAGCCTCGTGCGCCACGAGAGGGCGTCATCAAGAAGACTACCCAGGTGACGAACCCCAACGACTACACTCTTGGCCGTGCCAAGGGGACAGTGATCAGCAGCCTCAAGCGGAAGATATTTGTAGATGCCTTGAAAGAATCAAGTCGCCGTAAGTACAACGCCCTGAAGCAGCTGGATCCGACGCATGAGTTCGTGCAACGTACCGATAAATTCATGGAGAACAAGTGTCGGACTGCGCAGTGCAGCAAGAATAGTGAAATCACTGACCGCACGAAGAAGGCTGCGATAGCTTTCACAAAAGCAAGGGCGACCGAAACGTCTGATCTAGAGTCTGCAATGTACGCATACACTGACAGAGAGGCATGATAGGAGAAACACAATCGCAAAAGCACGAGCGCACTCTACGGCATGAGTGATAGCAGCATGCGACAAACCAGACACGGTCTAACTGGCTGATCATACATCACCATATACACGACTGGCAGCTCAAACACAACCACACACACTATGCCGCCCAAACACAACTCACAACATCCACACTCCCACGACGCGTCCAAAACACACCGCTCACGGCCGCTCCTGGCATGCAAACGTGCGCGTCTGTGCCCCGCCCGCTGCGGTGTCTGGGCATCGGCCGTGCGATGCGTGCGGCAGGACACTTGAAAAGCATTCCATCGCATCAACGCCACCGACAAACACTGCCCCCAGTGATTCATGACACCCTCATGAAAAAACGCCGGATCTTCGGTAGAGCTGGCAGGTGATGGGACACGGCGCCGCGCCAGGCGGCGGAGTAAGGCAAGCATCTGTGCACCCCAGCAGCCGAACGTCTCCACCACCAAAGGCACGAACGTGTAGCCTTTCTGCCGACAGTTGTTGCCGTATTTGCGGTCCCTGTCGCGCTCTGCCCCCGCAGCCGCAGTGCCGCCCGGCTGCCGTGCGTGGCTGCGGTTGACTCGGGCGTGGTGAGGGGTGGAGCTCTCGGGCCGACAAAGATGGACCACCGTGACATCGCACAGGCCGCCCTCGCTGTCGACAGTAAAGAAGAGGTCCATGCGCTGAATGTTGGGCTCGGCGTTGGACGGGACGATGTCGAGAGAGCGCAAGTGCACTTTCGTAGCAGCCGGAATGCCCACCTCCACAAAGATAGCGTTGAATACATCGAGCAGAGTGTTGTGCTTGAACATACGCTCCGCCGTCGCGCGGCTGTAGAGGAAAAAGTGGTCTTCGAGGGCGTCGATGGCCACGCCGCAAGGGCAAGAGGACGCCAGGTTGGCGAGGGGGAAGGTGAGGCCGAAGGTGAGAGCGGTCGCGAGGCGGTAGGCGTAGTTGTTCAGGCACTTGCGCTTGTCACCTCGGGTGTAGGCGGGGATAGCTGATAGCCAGCCCGACGACAGAGGCCCCAGGCAGGTGAGAAGGCGGCATCGGTCACGACTGCCAGCCGGAAAGGACTCGAACAGGGTGTTGAAATCCTTCTCTGCGAGGGCCTTCGAGAGCTTCTGCTGCAGTCGGGCTTGCGGGCGGATGATGAGCTGCTGGATGTGAGGGATGGCGACATAGGGGAGAGATGCAGAGAAGCCGGTGCGGGCGGATGCTGCCGGGACGAGCCATTCCAGCTGGAGAAGAGAGGCTTCTGACTCGGGCATCCAGGGTTGCCCATGAAAATGGTCCCACACATCCCCCACAGTGACAGCTACCAATCCCAGATAAGCAGCCGGTGCGATGCGGGCAGACGACATCAGCCCGAAGTCCCCCAGCCGAATAGAGAGCTGCACCTGCCGGTCTGCCGGACTAGACAAGGCGCCCGTGCGGTGGATTCGGGTGAAGGCCGTGATCTTCGCAGCATCGTGTACACGGGCGGCTGCCAAGAGGGAAGACGAGGGGGCAAGAAGGCGACACCAGTAGATAAAGTGCGGAGACCCGCAATAGCGAAGCAGCGGGTTCGCCCCCTGCACCGCGTGGTCCCAATCGTCAACAGCAAAGGCCACCACGGCGTCGAGGAGGCGCTGGTGGCTGGCGACGACCTCGTTGATGGTGCGCTCGACGAAAGCCGGAGTGCCGATGGGGGCGGAGAGGAGGATAATCCTTCGGTGGACGCGCGCACACCTCGACTAATGATGGCGGTCGGCAGGTCGACGGGTGAGCGCCAATGCGAGGACCAAGCATGGCACTTGTCGAGCCGCAGCACCAGACACAAAGAAGGCTCATGAAGACGTCCAGGCAGTCGCATCTGACAATGCCGGGGGTGCAAGGCAAGACTATCACCAGTACGTCGCTGTATGGAAGACTGCAACTAGCTTCCTAACGACGTCGGGGCATTCAAGCTCCTCAAAGAATACCCAGCATATTACGAACGGGCTGTCAAGGACCTCAGGGAGTAACACCTTCAGGTCATTGACTCGAACATCCCCAAGGCTGGCCGAGGCCTTATATCTCTTTTACCACTACGCGCATGTGACTCATTTCGAGGCATTAAAAGAGTTCTTCTGCCTGGCAACTTGAGCAGCTGGGTTATGCATGAGAAATGTCTTGAGTATCTGAAACGGGACCACAAGGAGCGATGGGGCCAGCCGACGACGTCGTACACGGTTCGGTTCGGTAGTTAGTTAACGGACACCGAAGTCCTGGCCCCCGAGGGCAGATGCTGTGTCCAACCAAGCGTCTGTCAGATAGAGGAAACTAATGAAGGTGAGAGATGCAAAGAAAGCCATCGCTTGCGAGAAGCCACGGCCATCAAGAGAAACTGAGCCAACGCAGGTTGCACAGGGAGAGAGCGCGAAGTGAGCAATGACCATGCAAACACCAAGGGATCACAATGGGTGAGATCCCACCAGAAAATAGACAACACCATCCGGTGCAGTCAAGCCATACATGCGAACAACACGAAAAACTTCCCTCCGCGGAAGACGATAGAGTGGGCAATAGAAAAGCACATGCAACTCATCCTCAACCGGCGGCACAAGCCATGGCATGGGCCAGCTGGCGGGAGAGCAAGTAGCAGCGCAGAATGGGCAGAAACACAATAGACGAGGCCGATCACTCAGCCGGCCATCAGTGACAGCACAAGTATAGGTGCCCATGCGAAATGAGAACAGCACACGCCGCTCAGCAGAGGGAAGAGAAAAATAGCATGGGAGAGTGGACAGGGGGTGATAAGACGATGAAGCCAATCCTGGCCTGATTCGAGGATAAAATCACGGAGGAAGGCAGGCACATATGCGGGCATAGAAACAAGGCAACTACGATCAAGGTAGCACTGCTGTGTATGAGAGGCAAAAACGCGACGAGCCACCGGGAATGTGTGAGGGAAGTGATGATTGAAAAATGCTGAGGCAGTGAAGAGGCATTGCCGTGCAAGTAAGAGGACACGACTGCGAGCAGTAGTCCTAGTGTACCCCGCCATGGCAACAGACACAGAGGCAGTGGAGCAAGGGAGAGAGGTGAAGGAAGAGAAGGCGCATCACGCAAAATTGCATGGTTGATGTGAATGGACGTGTCCCATTGTATAGCAAGTGTGTCAGAGTAGTACGCCTTTGTAAGGCCGACGTAAAGATCACGCAACACAGCGTCACCGATGGGACCCACATTTGAAATAAGAGTGCGATGACCAGCATAGCTAAGCAAGGCTGCAAAGCGAGTATACATGTTGTGATGCTGTCGGTACACGTACGTGTGATCTGGCTGCATATTCCTGAACTGGTTGGTCGATGTGTATGCTGCCTGGGCCTCCAAAAGGGCCTTTTGTGCCAAAGGCCTACAACGGCCATTCCACATACGACACAAAAACCCAAGCTGCCTGCGACGCGTTTCGTACGTGACAGAGAAGCGGCCGGCCTCACTCAACAAAGCAACATTGCTGACACGAGACGACGCATGCATGGCACGGAGCAAGAAACGACGATGCAGCTTGTGTAACTCCCGGCATGGCATGCCCGGCCAAAACTCGCAGCCATACAGATAGACAGACGACACAGTCGCATCATAGACAAGGAAGAGGGTAGAGGGGTCGAGACGAGGTAGGTGTTGGAGGTGATGAAGGGAGATGCGCAGTGCAGTCGGTCCCTTACCATTCATCACCTGCAAATGATACTCCCAACCTATCGTCTCATGGAACCACACACCTAAGTACCGAAATTGAGTGCTGCGAGGGAGAATAGTAGTGGGCGAGCGCGTACACGTTCTATGCGTTTGTGATGATCGAGGAGGGGACGGATTCAAGAGCTCAACATGGTGCGTTCCTATATACGAGCCCAGAGATCGAACCATTATGTCTAATCAACGTCGCTCCTCCAGGAGCAGTCGCCAGTGTGGCCATTGATACTACAGAACAACCGGGTGGTCACCGAAACGACGATATGTGGGTACCGGACGACAAACGTTTTGACGCCTTTCGGGAAGCTTTCTGTAAGGACGATCCTTTTCATTCGGAGGTCACGTTTATGGTGCCAAAGGACCATGCGGGTACGATAGCGCCAGGGACTGAGCTTTTGACGGATACGTACAAGCTGGATAAACTCTGGAGCATGCAAATTGGTCCGAACTTTGAGTGATTGTAGTGGTTTTTACAGAACACTACTCTCGGAGGGCATAGTGAGTGAACGAACATGGATGTGCTTTATGTCGGTGAACTTGTTACTTGACTCATCGTATAAGTATGATATTTCAATGGGAGGCCTTTATCTTCTTTAAGCCCATCAGACATCCAGTGCATTGGCGCGTGGTGTGAGCTGGTATGTGAGTGGCGGCCGGCGGCACTGGGTGGTGCGCTCGGCTGTGCGGTGGATGGGGCTGGCATGCTTATCGCTGATTGACTGATTTGTCTATGTACGAATTCATGATGGACTGATGGACACATTTTGCCATTGCGCTATACGTTAACGTCTTGCGTTGATCAGGCTTCATCCGATCTCCCTCCCCTACGCACGGCTCTCTCCCAGACAAGCATGTCCGTGTGTCATGAGTCGTCTCAATGCGTCGATCGTTCTCGACTGGTGGCGTCACCACTTCACGCGAGGATTCTCAGACCTTGCAGCCATCCAATCGTGTGTGCACCTCTCTGTGCTGCCTCTCTTAAGAGCATGCACGTGTGTGTGCTCCTCCTCTCTCCCCTGTACCGGTGTGAGTGAGCGATCGCGTCTATGTCGGACAGCATTCCGCTGGTCGTCTCGTGGCGTCTCGTGCCGACGATTTCGATCACGACGCACACCACCACCGTGTCCCTTGTTGTACTTGTTGTTCTTGCCCTTGTTATTGTCCTTGATGACACGCACCTTCTCCTTGCGCTCGACCTCATCGAGGTGGCTCTTGAGTAGCTCTGCGGCGCGCTTCATGCGGTGGCTGCTTGGGAAGAGGGTGATGCTGTACATCTTCTTGTCGTGCGTCAGCCGCTTGCAGTCCCAGTGGAGGTGGCCGTCGTTGAGGCAGTACTTGCAGTTGATGGATTCACCACCATCGGCCGCCCCTGCACCCTCGTCGACGTCCATTGGCGCAAC